AACCGCCCCCATAAAAAAAAACCCCCAAAAAAAAAAAAAAAAAAAAAAAAAAGACGCAGGGTTCCACATGACCACCTGCACAGTTTGAGTTCCAAACCTGGTGGCTTGAAAACCACTCCAGGCGCATACACGTGTGTGCCCAAAATCCCAAGATGAGACAGGAGGAAAAGGGATTGTAACATGGCCATCCCCCTTGGAGGGGTGATTTCTCAACTTCTCTCTCTTTCTTCCTCTCTCTCTCTCTCTCTCTCTCTCTGGTAAATTGTGTTTTTCAAGAATTTGGTCCATTTCATGATGGTTATATTGGGTAAGTCACATTGGAAAAATCACGATGCATTTTTGCGTAGAAAGATATGTCATGACTTTTTCAGTGACCCAAAGAACCAGTTTTTGTTTTTGTTGATTTTTCTCTACTGATTTCCTATTTTTAATTTCATTCATTTATGCTCTAATTTTTTTCTTTTGTGTACTTTGGAATTAATTTGCTGTTTTCTTTTTTTAAAAGAATTTCTTAGCCTTACGGCATGTACACTCATCACAGAGAAAGAGAGAGAGACAGAGTGAGAAACGACCCCCACCCAGGAAGGATGGCCACACCACAGTCCCTTCTCCATTCTCCTCCTGGGATCTTGGGCACGCACACAAACACACACCTGGTGTGATTTTAAGTCACTTAGGTCCAGGATTTGAATCATGATCAGCCACATGGGAGTCCAGCAATGTAACCACTATGCCATCTCCTGTCCCCTGCTCTTCTTTTCTTTAGTTTCCCAAGGTAGAAGCTTAGATTGTTGATATTTTTAAATCTCCTTCCCCCCCCCCCCTTATAGGGCACACGCACTTGCCAGAGATAGAGAAAGAGGGAAAGGGAGAAATCACCTGCGGGCAGAGATGGCCATCCCTTCTCAGGCTTTTAGTCCTGTCCAAACATACGTCTCACGTGTTTCTCCAGCTGCCAGGCCCAGGGTTTGAACCACACAGTTGGCCATGTGGGATCCAGCTCCCCCAGCCACAGGACACAGGGTCGTCCCTGTTTGCTACTTTTGATCCATCATCAGTCCGATACAAGCTACACCCTGTCTCTTTCACTAGGTCTTTCTCACCCTCCCTCTCCCCTTCTCTCCCTCACTGCTTTATCTCTGTCTCTCCTTCCAGGGAGAACCTGGCCCCAAGGGAGACCCTGGAGAGAAGAGCCACTGGGTAAGTTTGGCTCCACGTGGGCCTCTCCCTGCCTTCTCCTACCCTAGGAGAGTGATCTTTGGTCAGTAGGCCCTAGGAGTGGGGACACCCCACTGCCATCCCCACTGTGGCCTCATCTCCAGGCAGGAGCCTTGACGGTTCTCTGCCCTGGCCTCCTCTCAGTCCTGTTGCTGCCAATTGGGCAGAGCCAAGCCCTGTTGGCAGACCCGATGCTCTCCGTCTCTGTCTTTGTCCTTGTCTCTGCCTTCCTTCTGTGGCCTTTCTGACCACAGTGGCACTGCCTGTTCCTCCTGGGCAGATGGGGCTGGCCCAGGCCAGACTGCACCCCCTGCCTTGCAGCCCCCGCCCACCATGGCTCCAGCTTCTGCTCCCTTGTCTGCAGAAGAATGGGAAGCATGAAGACTACCTACATAGAAGAATGGGACAGAAGGCTTAGGAAAACTATGAAGCCTAGGAAGGGAGGCCTAGAAGTGGGGGATACATAGGTAACCCCTTGGGAAAAGGGACAGGGAACCTAGACATGACCAATCACAGGCTCTTCCAAAAGTTTATGGAAAATACACACTGAAAAACTGCATGAATTTTACTTTTTTTTGGGGGGGGGGCACCAAAATAAACTCATAGTTTTGGGGCAGTCAGATGGCATGGTGGTTAAGATAACTGGATCCATCGTGGTTAACTGCATAGTTCAAGTCCCAGACCCAGTGGCTTGAAAAACATACCAGGTGTGTATGCATGCATGCCCAAAATCCTGAGAGGAGGACAGAGAAGAAGGGATAGCAATGTGGTCAGCCCCCTGGGGCTGCTGTCTCTCTCTCTTTCTCTAATGAGCATATTTGCCCCATAGTCAATTTTTTTTAAAACCAAAAGAGGGGCTGGCAGGTGGTGTGGTGGTTAAGGGCACTGTACTCCCACATGGTTGACCATGGTTCAAGTCCCAGACCTGGCGGCTTGCTTTCTTATTTCTTCTCTCTCTCTCTCGCTCTGTCCCTCTCTGGCCAAATTGAAATAATAAACAAATAAAGTTGAATAAAATAATTCTTTTAAAAAATAATTAAAAATAAAATTAAAAAAAGAAACTCATACTTTTTTTTTGGAGAGGTTTTTGCTATAGGGTGCATGTGCTCACCAGAAAGACAGAGGGAGACAGAGAGACAGAAAGCTAGAAATCATCCCCCTGGGGGGGGGGTGGCCATGCCTCAATCCCTTCTCCATTCTCCTTTCGAGATCTTGGGCGCACACCACATGCCTGGCGTGAGTTTAAGCCACTGGGTCTGGGTTCAAACCATGGTCAACTACATGGGAGTCCAGTGACATAGCCATTACACCAACTGCTGGTCCCATTTTTAAAAAATAATTATTATTTTTATTTATATATTTTAGATTTTTCTATAGGGGGCATGCATTTGCCAGAGAGAGAGACAGAAAGCAAGAAATCACCCCCTGGGGGATGGCCATGCCACAATCCCTTCTCCTCCACTCTCCTCTCAGGATTTTGAGCATACACGCACACATGCCTGGTGTGTTTTAAGTCTCCAGGTCAGGGACTTGAACTGTGGTCGACTACATGGGAGTCCAGTGATGTAACCATTACACCATCTGCTGGTTCCTATTTTATTTACTGTTATTTTTTTTAGCTTGCTGTAGTCATCAGAGAGAAACAGAGAGGGGGGGTGAAGAGAAAGAGAGCCGCCAGGTCTGAGACTCAAACCATGGTTGACCATGCGGGAGTTCAGCACTCTAACCACCGTACCACCTGCTTGCCTCAAAGAACTCCTACTTTAATCCATTTCCCATGAGCTCTTTGAAGTCCCCTAGTGCACACAGGAAATCTATGAAGCATGAGAAGGGAGCCTTGAAACCATGGTGCATGTGTCTGATGTGGTTACTGAGGTCAGGGGACTCAGACTCCCTTATTCCCCAAAGACTTATAGTTACCATGAGGTCCTAGACACTAGCACATGTGTAAGCAACCCACGAGGTTTGGGGAGAGAAACCTAGAAACTGTCACATGCACAGGAAAACCATGGAAAATGGAACGGGGGATCGAGAAACCACTGTATACAAATGAAACCCAAGAAGAATGGGAAGGGAGGCCTCGAACTATCACAGACACAGGAGAGAGAGTAAATTAGAAGGGGGACCTAGAAACCACATACTAAAAAGAATCCCACAATTAATGTGGGATCCTAGAAACCTTCATACCAATTGGAGGTAATTGCAGTAAATGAATTTCAGGGCCTAGAAAACTAGTTTCCCAAGCGTCACATGGAGGCAGTACCAGGAGCCTGGAATGTACCAAGCCCAAAGCCCTGCAGTGTCGGGACCTGGAAATGGTCGCAGACACAGGAAGCGTTTGGAAAACTCAGAGTAGAGACAGGAGAGAGAAGTGGGACGCTCTCTTGCAGGGTGGTATCACACCTCCCTCCCCGCCCATGCAGCCTGACACTCAGCACCTCCCTGCCTTTTCAGTTCTCAACTGTGGGGTCAGCAATGGATACAGCCGTGGGAGCCCCCAACCCTGCACGAGTCCTCCCCGTGTCTCACCACGACTTCTGGGGTCCTGCTACCTCTCTAGCAAGCTTCTCCCAGCCCTTGCTGTCACCCAGTCCTCCTCACCCACCCTCTGTGGCTCCAGAGCCTCCTTTTATTTTTTCTTTAATTATTTTATTTTATTTATTGTTATTTTTATTTTTTGAAGTTGACCAGAGAGAGAGAGAGACAGAGACTGAGAAGGAAAGTGAGAAGGAAAGCTGCCAGGTTCGGGACTCGAACCATGGTTAGCCATGCGAGAGTCCAGCCACTTCAATCACCATGCTACCTGCCGGCTCGCTCCAGGGCCTCTTAAGAACACTGCCAATATGGGTGTCAGCTGAGCTGGAGGTGAGGTAGACCCGCGTGAGCCTGGCCCTCTGCCTCCCTTCAGCCCCTCTCTGGCCTCTCCCAGAGACCCTTGGTCTGGGAACATATTTTCCACCCAGCTCAGGGAGAAGGCAGGGTTAGGGCAGATTTAGGACAGACAGTCCAACCCTGTATGGGGACTCCTGCAGGGAAACAAAATACCTGGGGCTCTAGACCAGGACCGCCTATGGGAAGGGCCCCACCAAGAGGTAGCAGGGCCCCTACCTATCCATCCACCTTCTTCCTGCACTTCTGCCCCTGCTCGCTGCCTGCCTGAGAGAGGTCCCGCTGGGCTGGGGGTTGCATGAGGCTTTGGGAACTTAGAGGGGCATGTCTTTTGGGGGGAAGGTGGGATGGGGTCCAGTTTTGGGGGCAGGGTCTCTGAGGGCTCCTGTACACATAGGCCTCCTGTATACATTCTGCCTACCAAAACCCCTTAGAAAGCCTTTCAGAGATTCTAGCCCGGCTCAGCAGTGCCCCCTGGTGGTCATGGGCATGTGCTGCAGGGACTGGAATGACGGCTGAGCCAACCCATCTACTGCAATCAAAGATCTCCCTTATTCAGACCGGAAACTAAGGCCCAGGTCTGCAGTGAAATCCTGGCAGCGCAGGAAGTGAAACCTAGGTTTTTTCTTTTTTCTGTTTTTTTTTTTTTTTGAGAGATTTTCACTGTAGGGCGAGTGCGCTCGCCAGACAGACAGAGAGAGACATAGAGACAGAAAGCGAGAAATCACCCCTCAGGGGGGATGGTCACGCCGCAATCCCTTCTCCTCCATTCTCCTCTTGGGATCTTGGGCACGCATGCACACGCGCCCGGCATGAGTTTTAAGCCACCGGGTCCGAGACACAAACCACGGTCGGCTACGTGGGAGTCCAGTGACATAGCCATTACGCTAACTGCTGGTTCCCCTTTTTCTGTTTTTTGTTAGCACATGTGCACACCAGAGAGAGAGAGAGAGAGAGAGAGAAGGAGGGAAAGTGAGAAATCACCCCTCCTGGCCTGGGATGGCCATGCCATAGTCCCTTCTCCTCCACTCTCCTCTTGGGATTTTACGCACGCATAAGCCATCGGGTCTGGGACAATTGCACAGTCAGCCATGTGGGATCCAGCGCCTTAACCTCCATGCCGCCTGCTGGTCCCTAGTGCCTAGGCTCTTGCACTCCCAGGGCCAGAGAACCATTTACCAGAAATCAAACATCTCTTCTGTGGGTGCCAAGCTTGGGTTTGGGCACTGTGGACGCAAATGCTATCTGAACACAATCCTCAATCTCCGGGTGATCACAGTGGAGTGGGAGGAAGACTCGTAACCAGCAGCCACAGGTCAAAGGGAGATGCTTCAGTGGGCCAGACCTGAAAGGTACATTAACCGTGGGGTATTCAGGCAGAGGAGAGGGGTGGGGTGTGCAAAGGCCTTGGAGCATTTAGGGAGCTAGTGACAGACAAGGAGCGAGACAGAGGCCAAAGAAACTTTCAGGACTTCAGAGGCCTTATTAAGGAATTTGAACTTTGTTCTGTGGACATGGAGAGTCATTACAGTATTATAAGCAGGGGAGTGATATGGACAGATTTTTGTTTGTGAAATATCCCTGTGATTGCCATGTGGTAAGTAGATGGGAGACGGGCAATGTGGGAAGCAAAAAGAGAGACTAGACTGGAGGCCGTCATTGGTCTTAGCAGCCAGAAATGGGACGGGAGCAGTGAGGACCAACAGATGTCAATGGAGCTGAGTCACTTGGGTGCTGGTTTGCCTACAGAGGGGACTGAGGAGTCAAGTGAGGCTTAAAATAGCAAAAGGAGGGCCAGCAGGTGGCATGGTGGTTAAGGTGCTGGATCCCACATGTCCAGTTCTGCAGTTGCAGTCCCGGACCCAGCAGCTTTAAAACCATACTTGGGAGGGACCAGCAGGTGGCGTGGTGGTTAAGGCACTGAACACTCCCACATGGCTGACCACAGTCAAGTCCTGACCTGGTGGCTTCCTTTCTCACTTTCTTTCTCTCTCTCTGTCTCTTTCTGTGTCTCTCTCTGGTCAAATCAAAATAAATAAAATTAAATAATTAAAGAAAAAAAACACTGGGCATGTGTGCCTATGTACCGAAAA